TTTATTTGTTTCATAAACGTGGGTACAACTCACCCAACTGATAATAAAGCGTGACATCTTTGAGGTCTCCGCCCAAGGGTGTTTTCGGTGCGATTGCGATGTATCCGTTGGATAGTACATTAGCCTCGGTCGAACTAGCGCACATTTCAGGAAGTGTGGGAGTAGATGGATCAGATAACGTGATGCAATTTGTTCCTTGGCTCTAAAAAGTTGCTTATCGCATTACGTCATCGGAACCTACATCAAACGTCGCGGGTCTGGTCAACATAATGTCTCTCTGCGACGTTGTGCTGATATTCCATTTACAGACTTCTGTTCTCGTACTAGGCAGAGTCAGTGTTGCCCTGACTGAAGTTGCCACATGATTGGCTTTGCCGCAAATCTTTTCGTTTTCATCTATATGTTTGGATTTTTACATCAAAATGGTACTTAATATTATGAGACTAACCTGCGTTCACATGAACGCTCACTATTGCAATGAATGCAATCAAAGTTCGCAACATGCTTTATTCCTGATGCACACTGTGCCATATCACTTGTATGCATATATCTTTATATATATATATATATATATATATATGCTGCGAAAACCTGGGTGTGCTTGAAAAGAGCTCAACGATTCACGCAAACAATGTTCACGTGATTCGTGCGATTGAGATTTGCAGTGGCGTAATTCACCGCCTGACCATTTCCTCCTAAACGCACACATATTTGACTGCAAACCACATAACATTTAAAGCGATGACACAGTAGAACGAGTATTTGCATTTAGAACACATTTTGAAGAGAACAATATAAGGTGAGGAACCGTGCACTTTATGTGTGCACAACGCATTCTGAGATCTGTTCTTCCGGGTTTTTCAGTTGTCACTTTGTTCTACTGACCCATTTCTGAAAAATGTTTTGTTCTTGTGTGAAAATACGTGTATGTGGGAAGGTGGGAAGGGGTGTCCGTGAAGCCCGAGGTAGAGGGGGGGCGTGGGTAAGATGCTTCTGGGCACATTTTTGAGGGTCACTTGTTCGATGAAGATGGCTCCGGCTATGGCCAACGTTCGCAATCAAACATACTACTCCAAGTCGGAGGGACCTAAAGACTAATGAGAAATGCTTCGCTTGGGGTTCATACGATGGTCATCGTTAACCATCTAGAAACTATCAACCGATTCTACTTCGTTTGTAAATTGTGTGGCCTTGTTTCAGGAGGTGAACTCTTTAGCAGTTGATACAGTTCGCAGTTTATATCTGCTATGCAAAATATGCCGGAAAATACTCATAAAATATGATAACGGTGCCTCTCAACGGATTGTTCTCCAGCATCGCCACGAAAAACCGCCAAAAGGTTCAATTGTAGCTTTCCGATTGCTATTTATTATTTTGTTAATAGAAAGTTCGGTTGCAAATAAACAGAACCTTATATGTACACGGCATTAGGCAGTCGCTTCTGTTCGTGTCACAAAATTAATTTGGTTATCGGTTATCTGTTTTATAATGAACGGGATGGTCTCCACTAATGGCAAATTTGTAAATCGTGATGAGATATCCAGCGTTAGCATCACCTTATCTGATACAACTGTATCTATCATTCCTTCAGTAAACTGGAACATAGTGTGAACACCTCATACTTATAATTATTTTCTTTCAGGGTACAGGATTGCAACGAACCATGATTTCGAAACTTTGACGTCAGCGGTATTGCACAAAAGGAAACCGGAACTTCGTAGAATTTTGGAAAAAATATAGCCTCGGAAAGCATTAACAGGTAAGTCGTATGCGTCCATATAGCCTACTGCTTGTGTAACCTTCTTGATTGTGTCGTTTGTAATTCGATCGGTTGCACTAAGTTAAGACATCCGGGCTACTGTACTGTGGACAACTCAGGNTCAGGGCCTGATCGATCACGGACCATGGAAGTTCGAGTGGCTGAACCAAAGACTTCAGATTGCAGAGCTCAGGAATCCAATTTCATATAAAGTTTGCTTCGTCTATTGCTACTGCACTTCGTGCGGAGGACATCACAAACCACTTCGAAGGCCAGCTCCGGGTTGAACTGATGTTCTGTGGGTACTGAGTGGCCTAGGATGAAGCTGTTCATTGATCCGATGTGCCACAAGTGCATCTAAAAGAGTACACAAACATTGATGAGATCAGCATCTAAAGTTTAGTTATTTTCAATGCGGATCATAAGAGCACCGCAACATGGTTGTGTTGGTGCAATTGTCATTTTTTTGTTCAGTCGTTGAAGTGGGGTCTAATTTAAGGCATCACACCATAATAAAAACGGGTGAATGAATCGTTCTTCTCCGCAGTTTGCGTGGGAGTTTTGTGTATTTATATAACCCGAATTATTTTAAAGAAACTATTCAAGTTAATCATTAGGGGCATGAAAATCAACATTTCCATATGAACATCCGTTTGTTGGATAGTGAGTTTTCTTTACCGGGTTGGAGGGTGTTTGTGCTGTCGATGGACGACCTCGTCGCAATGTTAACCTTCAGATAAAGGACTAAGGTACATATTAAAAAAGCCCGATGTTCAAACGTTCAACTGGCTTTGTTGTGTAACCAATTCCGTTTGTCAATCCACGAACGGTCTGAAATCGGATATCGAAACGTTTGTATCCACCAACGGTGTTATACAGTGTACGATCAAGACAGTCCAATGGAGATCAGTTATCTAAAAACCGGAAGTAGTCGGATGGAGAACGAGTTGTCAAACAAATATTTGCTAAGCTACTCGAGCTAAACTTACACAGATATCTAGGCTTGCATTTACTACGCAGGTAAAATGTTACCCTATGGAGTGGGCGAAAGCCGGATTTGCTTTCTTGTATAAAATATTAGGGATCTAAGTCGCCAAGTATCCTGCAGGTTTTCGAGACGTTTCTTGATAATCATTCGTCACCCAGTAAACCCACCGTTTTTAGTAATCTAATAATCAATACAATTTAAACCTAGCGAAAACTGTTGGACTAGATATTTCTGTTAATTTTTCNTAACGTCGTGACTAATCGTGATTGGGATGAAGAGTTCTGTTTGATTTATAGGATGCAGAACTACTCACCGTTCCCGCCGATGTTCCGTCCGTTTCCCACAAGATATTCTGCGGATACGTTTGCATCAGTTTCTCTCTCTGTTTCCCTATCCCTGTTGTCATCCCGGGTGGAATGGTAATTTGATGTTTTCCATGATTATCCTCGGGAGAGTATGGTTGAATCCTTCAACGCTCGTTCCTGGTTGAGGGGAACAGGGACGTCATCATTTCCAGCGTACCCTTGATTGTGTAGGCTTATTCTAACGAATATGCCATCCGGACGATAAGCAACAGCCCTCAAAAATGTGGCGGATTGTCTGCTCCTTCCAACCAGTTATCAGAGCGCAGCCTAGATAAGGACCTACTCTGGACAAGGGCACCAATAAATACAACAGTCCGTAACACACAACAATGAACTTGTCCTTGCAAATATCTAAACAGACAAAAGGTTGTTCAGTCACCATAAACATTCTCCACCTTCCTTTTCCCAGCCTACCACACATGCAACTGTTTGCAGAGGTTTGGATTCGCTAAGCTGTGTGTGCGTGTTCTATTGAATAAACCGTCCGGACGTTGTGCGACAGCTCTCAATAATATGGCGGATTGTCTGCTCACAACATCATAGGTAAGTGCGAAAAGCACTGGGAAGGTGTCAACATGACTCAGAAATAAATACGAAACAAATAAAGACTGCATGCTCATGCTAATCATTGCGGTTGCTTTTTCTTCCAAGCAATTACCAGAGTGCACCTTCGAACAGGGCCCACTTTGGAAAAAGGCATCGATGAAGACAACAGTCCGTAAGACACAAAAATGAACTGGTCTGTACCAATATCTAAACAGACTAACGGTTCTTCAATCGCCATAAACATTCTCCACCTTCCTTTTCCCAGCCTACCGCATATGTGACTGTTTGCTGAGATTTGGATTTTCTAAGTAGTATGTATGCATCGTTACATAGTTTTATCTTATTTTCGCGGGCCACTCAATGTCTTACGACCAGTCTTCCAGACACTTTGCGGGATCCAATGGAGTTCAACAAGGTTACCCTGTATTGTCGTTCCTCTTCAAATTTGCCATGGAGAATAGTCTGTAGAATGCCTTTTCCAATTAAGAAAGTGGCGAAGGATATATCTCTCCCAGCGAACATATTCATTGACTTGAAAATACCTGTGACATCATCGCGTTGGGTGGCAATATGCAAACAATCCAAGACCTATTGAACGGTTGGTGATTGAAGTATCCAGCTATAGTTTGTTTTTAGTACCATCCAAAAATCAATCTCTCCATTTATGACCGACATCAGCACGTGTCTGCAATAAAACTGTTGTGATCAGATGGAA